GCAATAGAGTTATACTCAAGTTACACACACTGGTATAGTACCCGTATGAAAGCACAATGCCAATGCATATGCAATACACCCAAACGTACAATAAGTATGTGCAATACTATTGGATTGCCAACAATGTCTCGTAGTAGTATTATATTCAAGTTATACACACTAGTATTGTACCTATATAGAGGCACAATGGCAATATATATGCAATACAACCAAACACACAACAAGTATATGCAATGCTACTGGATTTGTCAACAATGTCACGCAATAATATTATATTCAAGTTATACGCACTAGTATTGTAACTAAAAAGCGGCACAATGGAAATATATATGAAATATAACCAAACATACAATAGATGTATGCAACGCTATTGGATTTGCCAACAGTGTCACGTAATAATATTATAGTCAAGTTATACACACTAGTATTGTACCTATATAGAGGTGCAATGGAAATATATATGCAATACAACCAAACATAATAACTATATGCAATGCTATTAGATTTGTCAACAATGTCACGCAATAACATTAAAGTCAAGTTATACACACTAGTATTGCATCTATATAGAGGCGCAATGGAAATTTATATGCAATACAACCAAACATAATAAGTATATGCAATGCTATTGGATTTGCCAATGCTGTCATGCAATAATATTATACTCAAGTCATACACACTAGTATTGTACCTATATAGAGGCGTAGTGGAAATATATATGCAATACAACCAAAGATACAATAATATTTGCAATGCTATTGGATTTGCCAACAATGTCACGCAATAATATTATAGTCAAGTTATACACACTAGTATTGTTCCTATATAGAGGCGCAATGGAAATATATATGCAATACAACCAAACATACTATAAGTATATACAATGCTATTTGATTTGCCAATGATGTAATGCAATAATATTATACTCAAGTCGTACACACTTGTATTGTACCTATATGGAGGTGCAATGGAAGTATATATGCATTACAACCAAACATACAATGAGTATATGCAAATGCAATTGGATTTGCCTACAATGCCACGCAATAATATTATACTCAAGTAATACTCACTAGTATTGTACCTATATAAAGGTGCAATGGAAATATATATGCAATATAACCAAACTTACAATAAGTATATGCAAATGCAATTGGATTTGCCTACGATGCCACGCAATAATATTAAACTCAAGTCATACACACTAGTATTGTACCTACGAGGGGTGATCAATAAGTAATGGACGCTTTTTTACACAGATACTTTTTATAGACCAATCCCTTTGATTTTCCTACCAGTGATACATCATTCAATTATCTATCAATTCTGAAGATTTGAAGACAAGATATATAATACATATTGATATATCCTTATTTCCGTGAAGGAGGTACAGGTACCCCGGGACCGACATTTACGTCACATATTCAGATTTTAGCCAGTTTGGTAAATTTCAGTTAGATTTGAACGTTTTATATGCAACAAGTGTTGTGTTGTTTAAATTTTTTTTGCTGACTGGTAACACATAAACAGAAAGTATTGTAATGTCAGAGTGTTGTATGGAAGGGGTTTGCAGGTCAATTTGAGAAAGCATTCAGTGGAAGAAAGGGGTGGTGAGAGAAGGGAACACCCTACTCCATATGGACAATGCACCTGCCCACAGATCTCAAAATGTTCAGAAAACAATATCCCTGGACCTCAAAATTGAGCCCTTGGCCAATGCACCATACTGTCCAGATCTGCTCATATGTGACTTGTTTATTTCTATACTACTTATTTCTATAGAAAAAGGACGCAGGTTAATTGACATTGATGAAATAAAACAACCCGTGCAACTGCATCTTGCTACCATGTCAGAGAATGGATTCAGCCTTGTCTCACAATCTTGAGTTAAGAGGATGAGGAATTATGTACATGTAGCACTTGATGGAAACTATTTAGAAGTCCCTGTGGGATGAATGTGGCTTGAATACCACATACTGATGATAAAATATTCAAAATTATTATATTATTACTATGGCATAACAAAATGGGGTAATTCATGACCATAATGGTTTGTTTTGTTCAGCCTGCATTCAACTGCATTGCATGTTAAACAATCTAAAATAGCTTCAGAATATGTGACGTAAATGTCGGTCCCGGGGTACCTGTACCTCCTTCACGGAAATAAAGATATATCAACATGTAATACATATATTGTCTTCAAATCTTCAGAGTTGATAGATAATTGAATGATGTATCACTGGTGAGAAAATCGAAGGGATTGGTCTATAAAAAGCATCTGTGTAAAAAAGCGTCCATTACTTATTGATCACCCCTCGTATATAGAGGAAATGGAATGCAATGGGAATATATATGCAAGTCGTACACACTAGTATTGTACCTATATAGAGGTGCAATGGAAATATATATGCAATATAACCAAACATACAATAAGTATATGCAAATGCAATTGGATTTGCCTACCGTGCCACGCAGTAATATTATACTCAAGTTATACTCACTAGTATTGTACCTATATAGAGGTGCAATGGAAATATATACACTAGTGGTAAGCGAAAATTCTGCTCACTTTTGGGACTGGGGCACAAAACAGGTGGTTTGTCACCCTTAACAGCATCAAAACTGTACTGGGCCTTTTCTATTCCAACCATGCTGTTTGGGGCACCAGTTATAAATTACCAAGCGTCAGATGTTGAAAAGCTTGAATTGACTCATAGGGAGATTGGCAAACGTATCCAATTTTTCCCCAAAACCTCAGCCAATCCTAGTGCAACGATGCCGTTGGGATGGTTGTCAATAGACGGCTATATTACAGTGTTGCAGATGATGTATCTCTGGAGTTTACTTAGGTTTAATAATATTTACAGGGATATAACTATAACACGGTTAGTAAAGATGTTTCATGTCACTTATGACAACCATGTCGATATTTTCTCTCCTATCCGGCGCATTTTCCTTAAGACCAAAATGCTAGGAATTGAAAATCTGGTTAAAAATGCGCTGGACTCTGGATATCTTCCGTCGAAGAGGTCATGGAGACTGCAAATTGTCAATGCTGTAAGATCCGTCGAGGTCAAACAATTTTTCTTGCAATGCTCATGTTATGGCAAACTTTTATACCTACGTGACTATGTCACAGACTTAAAACCTTGCATATGGTGGTTGATTTGTCAGAAATATCCTAAATGTCAAAGCCAGTGTAAAACTATGATGCAATTGATATGTAACGCCCATGTATTAAATACGAACAACTTCAATGGTTCAAAACGATGTATATTGTGTAACCTCTGTGAAACTGAAACAATTGAACATTTTATATTAAGATGCCCTATGTATGAACCATATAGGCATAACATATTTGAAGCCCTTGGCTGTCGTGGTGACAGTATGGGTGTTATTATGAAGAAAGTTTTAGGTCTCTCAGATGTTTCATGTGAGACGTTAATAATTGTATCATCATGTGTACACAAAATGTACAATCACAGAGCCAACCTGTTGGCTCTGCTTGACACATAATTTCTCTATCACTTTATTTTTATGTTTTCCAAAACAACAACTTTTTTATCACATAATTTAATCTTATCCTTGTATTTTATATTTTATATGTAAACCATATGTATACTAAAATGTATTCTCTCATATAAATGAGGCAATAAATATACAATACAATATGCAATACAACCAAACATACAATAAGTATGCAATTGGATTTGCCTACCGTGCCACGCAATACTCAAGTTATACTCACTAGTATTATACCCATGTAGAGGCACAATGGCAATATATATGCAATACAACCAAAAGTACAATAAGTATATGCAATGCTATTGGATTTGCCAACAATGCCACGCAATGATATTATACTCAAGTCATACTCACTGGTATTATACCTATGTAGAGGCACATCGTCAATAAATATGCACTACACCTCCACACATACAATAAGTGAAGGCAATGCCAGTATATTGTCAACAATTGTATGCAATATTATTATACTCAAGATATACACACTAGAATTATACCCAAATGGAGAGAAAAAATGGCAATATACACTACACTTCCACAAATATGTACAATGTGCTAGTTTATTTGTCAACAATGGTATGCGATATTATACTTCAGTTAGACATATTGATATTATAGCCATATGGAAACACGATGTTAATATATATGCAATACACCCCATACCATACAATAGGTATATGCAATGTTAGTGTGTTTGTCAACAATGCGATGCATTGCATTGATTAAGCAATCGTATAATACTCAAGTTATACACACTGATAGTATATCAAGTGGAAGCATAATGTCAATATACATCTAGTACATCTCGAAACAGTACTCACGTTATACAAACTAGTAGTACACCCATAAAGGAGCATAATGGCAATATATATTCACTTTATCCCCACACTTACAATAAGCAGAAGCAATGCAAGTAGGCAATGCTAGAGTTTCCACATGTACTGTGAAAATATACAATGCTGGTATGATTGTCAACAAATACAACTGGTCAGGATCTAGCAATGCCACAAAATGAATTTTTGCAGAAATTTGTGTTATTAATGTATGCGTAGATACTAGAAATATAACACCAGCCCGACGTTCTAGGGTATACAGTGTACTTGTATAAATGAGGAAAATTCGGAGATTGTTCTTAACAAAAATATGTGATATTTATGCATTGAAAGTGACTAAGTGCACATGGCTGCCAAAAACTGTGAAACTAGTGAAACACTTCAAATATTAAATTGAGTATTTTAGTATGTTGTTAAGGCAGAAAATAAAAGTCCTTTTAGCCTGGATCTGGCACTCTACTGAAATCAAAAAACAAAGTCCAAGAGTCCATAGCTTAAGTTTTTATAGCCTTGTTCCTATGTGGTTCCGTTTAGATTATCATTTTCAGAGTCATCAATTGATTGATAATATTAGGCAATTACATTGCCTCAGCTTGTTCCACAGTCAAACTTGTACGTCAAATTTGAGATAGCTATTTAAATTTAACTGTCAAGCTTGTCCCTCAAACGTTTAAGAATATTGCCATTGATGTTCTTCCCTGGCCATTGGTCAGGTGTACCAGCAACCAAATCTGCTATCTTGCATCCCGTGCCATAGAAGTTATCGTAGGGGTTACACTCACCAATTTTGTCGGTCCCAGATGTAGATCTCAGGCAGGGGATTAACTCTGGGTTTTGTTCGAACTTTAGTGTATTGGCTTTCTCCAACACGGCTTCCACCCGCATCTTCCAAAGTGCGTCTGAGAATCCGTTTGCGTTTTTACCTATCTTTTCACAAGCGGATGGATTTTGTGATGCCATCACGCGAGAGGCTGCATCGTGGTCCTCGAACATATCGGCCTGCGCGTATGCCACGTATTGTGCAACTGAGTGGAAAATCCGACCTTTATCAGAAAAACTACAGGGGTAATTTCTTCCTAGTGGGGACGTGGCACTATTGAAGAGCGTTACGACATCTGCCACTTTTCGTTGTGAAGCTGCAAATCCGATCTTTTCGGGCAATCTTTGAAGGTCATTGACTCGATATTTTCGGCCGTCTACTATTAGAGTATCTGCTGTCAAAGACGCACGCATGTTTTCTACCCGTGCTGCTTTGTATATGGGGAGGAGTATTTTCCTATTCCGTTCAACAGGGGCAGGGAAACTTTCCTCCATAAAGAACTATCTATTATTAATAAATGGTTTAAATGCAACAAACTCGCTCTCGATCCAAACAAGACCAACTTCATTATTTTCAAGACTGCTCAAAAAGAAATAGATTACAGCAAAGTCAATCTCACAATGAATAACGTCCCACTTGAAAGAAAATCAGTTTGTAATTTCCTCGGAACACTTATTGATGAACATTTATCATGGAAAGCCCACATTAACTATGTTGAAACGAAGATTTCAAAGACTTTGGGAGTTATTCACAGAGTCAAATACCTTTTAGACAAAAATAGTTTAAAACATATTTATTATTCCTTAATTTATTCATATTTAAACTATAACCTCATTGTGTGGGGGAACGTTCCCCCATCTTCTCTAAATAAAATTCACCGTTTGCAAAAACAATTTATAAGAATATACGATACAAATTGTAAATTAAGAGATCACACAGCACCATTCTTCAACAAGGCATTAACATGACAAAATGTCACCACCTAAAACAATTTGGTCAATTTAAAGCAAGTTGCATGGAAAATACCTTTTGACCTTAAGAAGGTTTGATTTGAAATTCTTAGAACATGTAGATGATTTTGAAAAAAAAATTTCGTCAATTTGAAGCAAGTTGAAAAAATACCTCTTTGACTTTTTTTGACATTGAGAAGGTCATTGAAGGTCAAATGTCAAATGTAAAGTCAGATTTGAACTTCTGAGAACATGTAGATGATTTTGAAAAAAAAATTAGTCAATTTGAAGCAAGTTGAAAAAGACCTTTTTGACCTTGAGAAGGTCATTGAAGGTCAAAGGTCAAATCTAAAGTCAGATTTGAACTTCTGAGAACTTGTAAAGCCAAATTTGAACTTCTGAAAAGATGTAGATGATTTTGAAAAAAAAATTGGTCAATTTGAAGCAAGTTGAAAACAGACCTTTTTGACCTTTTTTGACCTTGAGAAGGTCATTAAAGGTCAAATGTCAAATCTAAAGTCAGATTTGAATTTCTGAGAACATGTAGATGATTTTGAAAAAAAAATTAGTCAATTTGAAGCAAGTTGAAAAAATACCTTTTTGACCTTTTTTGACCTTGAGAAGGTCATTGAAGGTCAAATGTCAAATCTAAAGTCATATTTGAATTTCTGAGAACATGTAGATGATTTTGAAAAAAAAAATTAGTCAATTTGAAGCAAGTTGAAAAAGACCTTTTTGACCTTTTTTGACTTTGAGAAGGTCATTGAATGTCAAATGTCAAATCTTAAGTCAAATCTAAAGTCAGAATTGAATTTCTGAGAACACGTAGATGATTTTGAAAAAAAAAATTAGTCAATTTGAAGCAAGTTGAAAACAGACCTTTTTGACCTTTTTTGACCTTGCGAAGGTCATTGAAGTCAAATGTCAAATCTTAAGTCAAATCTTAAGTCAGATTTGAATTTCTGAGAACACGTACAGGTAGATGATTTTGAAAAAAAAATTTAGTCAATTTGAAGCAAGTTGAAAACAGACCTTTTTGACCTTTTTTGACCTTGAGAAGGTCATTGAAGGTCAAATGTCAAATCTAAAGTCAGATTTGAAGGTCAAATGTCAAATCTAAAGTCAGATTTGAACTTCTGAGAACATGTAGATGATTTAGAAAAAAATTGAAGTCAGTCTAAACAGTATTTGTTAAGTTATAGGAAGTTGTAAGAAATTGTTACAGACGCCGGACGCCAACCTCCAACCACCAACCGCCGGACGCCGGACGCCAACCTCCAACCGCCGTCGCAAAAAACGGAGACCATAACAATATGTCACCACTTTTGGTGGTGACATAAAAATGCTAACATTCTTGATATATTTCAAATTTTTAAAGTCAGTATCTTGACATATCTTTTCAAATGTATCAAAGGCACTGACCCAACATCCAAAAACCAATTCAGTTATTACTTCACTCCAAACAATATTATTCATAGACATGAGACTAGACAACAATTCAAACTCAGATCAGCAACTTTTAGAACAAACATTGGCAAATATTCCATCAGTAAGCAGGGACCAGATTTATGGAATATATTACCTGATGAAGTTACTAAGTGCAACTCTATACCTCTTTTCAAGAAAAAAATCAAGTCATTTTTAATCAATCAATGATAACAATCTCCAATTAGCTATTCACTTATGCTGTCTACCTAGTAGCTATTGTTATCGTTCTTTCTTTTTTTGCTCATTGTTTTTAATCCATCGTTGTTTTTATTCCATCATCTAATTGGCAAAGCCAACATATATCATCGCCTATCATTTTTCAAAGCACTTAACCTTATTCGAATATACTGCTCAGAGACTGTAACTGGCAACCCAGTTTACTTTCCATATTGTTAAGACCATGCTGACGGGTGGGGGATGGAGGTGGGGAGTGCGAGGCTGGAGATACATAATTTACACAACACTGCTTGTCATGTTCATCTTCTCTGTGCGGATAATATGCCCATCAGGGTGTCATCCGCCTTATCTGTATGTTTCACCAGATGTTTGAAAATAAATAAATGAAATGAAAATGAAAATGAAAATATTCGCCAAGGAGAAGCTGATGCCTGGAAGCCGCAAGAAACTCAATCAATTTAAGACAAAAAAATTACAATAATGACACAACTAATATCGAAGAAAAATGCACGCCTATTAAAGTACGAAAATAATACCAATGGAGATTTGGAAAAAAGTATATGACACCGAAAACGCCATGGGTCGATTCCTGGTCAGCGCAAGGTTTTTCATTTAAATACTGATATGAAGAGAAATTACATTTATAATGAATTATATTTTACATACAACATGAAAGCACTGATGGTTCAGTGGTAGAATGCTCGCCTGTCATCCAGCTGGCCATGGTTCGATTTTTTCGATTTTTAAAAAAACGGTAGTTTTAGTGCTGTCGATTTTTAAAAAATACTGTAGTTTCAGAGGTTTGGGGTAGAATTTTGAAAAAAGTGTAATTTTGCGGTAGAAATTTGAAAAATCGGTAGATTTGCGGAAGATTCTGAAAAAATGCGGTAGTTTTACGGTAGATTTTGAAAAATGCGGTAGTTTTTACGGTAATTTTTTGAAAAACCGGTACTTTTGCGGAAGATTTGCAAAAATGCGTTTTTACGGTAGATTTTGAAAAAATGCGGTAGTTTTTGCGGTAGATTAAAAAAAACTAGTTTTGCACAAGAATTTGAAAAAATGCGGTAGTTTTGCGGTAGATTTTGTAAAAATGCTGAAAAATGCGGTAGTTTTTGCGGTAGATTTCTAAAAAACTAATGAATTAAACAGTATGTTAACGCAGCATTCATTGAACTCTCTCATAAACAGACCAACAATTTGAACACTTCAATGTTTTTATAACTACAGTAGAACTCGATAAGTGGAACAACTCAAGCGGAACACCGAATAGGTGGAGCAGTGATTTTAAAGTCCCATTGCCCACTTACTCCTTTTGAATGAACCTCTGTAAGTGCAACACCTCAATACATTTTTGTAATGATAGACATAATGTTCATATAACATTGGAATCATATTGTATCAAATATTGATTTGTTCACTCGCAAGTCTCTAATATTATCAATGTGTTTGTCTGGCACAAATAGAAAATAAGTACAGATCAATTGTCTTCCAAAAATAATCTGTTATGAGCATTTGCTTTCGGAAATCACAATACTTTTATAACGGGAGATTTTACAGTAGTTTGCAGGGATCCAGGATTTCAGGTTATGGGGTGCGCCTTGATTATTGAATTTTTCATGGCCTGTAGATGACGAAGGAGGTCGGAGAATGACTAACAGGGGGGTCCCCGGAAATTTCAAAATTTTGAATGCTTTTTGTTGCAATCTGAGCATGTTTCTTAGATAACGACAAACATATTGTTTTTAGGTAAAATTATTTTCATCAACCTTCGGTAAAATCTACCATTTCTTAATTGAAATCTTGATTAAACTGAACATCCCAAACACATATGATAACGTGTGATATACTTGTAATTGATAACTTTTTAAAATTTAAATCGACTGACCATACTTTTATCTCCATCCTCATTTGTACGATGTGATGTTAGTAATATCACATCGTCTGATTCCATCGAATACTTTTTGAATAACATTGTTACGCGTACGTATGTCCCGCATTTTTATGATCCAAAAAGTCTAAACAGAGCTTAATGATACCAATAATGGTTAAAAGGCTAATATTGCATAGTTATCTGAAATTAATTGTTTTACCAAAGTGAAAAGCGTCCGAGAAATATAACAATCTATATATTTCATCAGGAAATGAGTGCGATGTCAAAGATCCCCAAAAGATCATCGTTTTCAAGCAGTGCGTTGATTTTTCATCAGAGGCTACATAATTTAAAATGTTAACAACGTTTTAACATTGAAGCATGGGTACCAACTATTATAACTATCAAAACTGTCGTTTTGCAAATATTAAATTGGCGTTCTAACATCTTGATTTGAGTAGTTTTGATTTGAGACCAGTAATTGGTCATTATGACCCCAAAGTATAACAAAATAGGCCACAAAACAGACATGTTATCACATATCTATTTAGATACTTTAGGATCAGTTTGTCAGAAAAGCATGAAAATAATCATGGTGTTACATATTCATATGAACTTCATATTTGGTGAGTGTCAGAATTCTAAGGTGTATACTTAGGAAGAAAAAAATTATTTCATTTTCATAGTTTTGCCCCGGCCACTATAGGGGAGACTATAGTTTTGATGATTAACTCCCACAATGCATCACAATTGTATTAGAGTTGACATCTAAATCATTTATATAGGCTTGTCATCATCTAAAATACAAGTTTTGTGAAGGTTTATACCTTATTAGTATGAAAAATAGGAATTATTAGTTGCACCAGGTGAAATGTTAAGGTGACCTCACTTTTATTTGATGAATAATTACATATCACCACTCTGATATTAGGGTATTTGATAACTGCTCTATACTAGGCTTATATAAATAATGTTAGTTGTAGTTTTTGTGGAATTTTATTGTTTAAAT